TTATACCAAAAAGTTCTACTTTGGTTTCATCTGACCACATGACATTCTCCCAATCCTCTGCTGTATCATCCATGTGCTCTCTGGCAAACTTCAGACGGGCCTGGACATGCACTGGCTTCAGCAGCGGAACACGTCTGGCACTGCGGGATTTGATTCCCTGCCGTTGTAGTGTGTTACTGATGGTGACCTTTGTTACTTTGGTCCCAGCTCTCTGCAGGTCATTCACCAGGTCCCCCCGTGTGGTTCTGGGATCTTTGCTCACCGTTCTCATGATCATTTTGACCCCACGGGATGAGATCTTGCGTGGAGCCCCAGATCGAGGGAGATTATCAGTGGTCTTGTATGTCTTCCATTTTCTGATGATTGCTCCCACAGTTGATTTTTTCACACCAAGCTGCTTGCCTATTGTAGATTCACTCTTCCCAGTCTGGTGCAAGTCTACAATACTTTTCCTGGTGTCCTTCGAAAGCTCTTTGGTCTTGGCCATGGCGGCGTTTGGAGTCTGACTGTTTGAGGCTGTGGACAGGTGTCTTTTATACAGATGATGAGTTCAAACAGGTGCCATTCATACAGGTAACGAGTGGGGGACGGAAAAGCTTCTTACAGAAGACGTTACAGGTCTGTGAGAGCCAGAGATTTTCCTTGTTTGAGGTGACCAAATACTTATTTTCCACCCTAATTTACGAAGAAATTCTTTACAAATCCTACCATGTGAATTCATGGATTTTTTTTTCACATTCTGTCTCTCACAGTTGAAGTGTACCTCTGGTGCAAATTACTGACCTCTGTCATCATTTTAAGTGGGGGAACTTGCACAGTCGGTGGCTGACTAAATACTTTTTTGCCCCACTGTATATTTCTACTTGGAGAAATTTAAGGGGCTTATCCCTCAAAACTTTAAATACAATAAAGTTGCAAAAAATAGTTTCCCACCACAGGAAATTTATTTTGAGTGTCTTCATAGTTTTATTTTGGAGATACAGCAATTTTTATATACTGCAGGAAAAACAAAAAACAATCCTATGATGCAAATTTGCAAAGAAAACAGCATGTGCATCATTTCACTGTGGGAAGTGTTACGAACAGCTGATAGGAACGGCAAAGCGTGTTTCTGGAATATTATGTTTTTGTTCCTGCAAGCGCTTTTTATGCAATTTTTGCAAAGCTATATGTGGAACGAAACCGTGACCGAGGACAAGCTGATGGCATCAGATGTAAGTACAACTCCTCCGGTTTCATATGCAAAACAAATTATTGCGCTAGCTTACACGGTTCAGGTTCTACAGGGATTTAAAAATAGTTACGCAAAATGGAGCGTGCTGCTCTGACCGGCTTTAAAGGGTTAACAATGACTTTAAAAAAATAATATAAAATAGTGTGCAACACCACTGAAGTTTGTTTTTTTTTTAAACTCTCTTTTCAACCAACGGCAGTCACTCTCCAAATAACTTCTGCTTAGCTTTCCGAGCTTCCCTCGGGTCCTCTTAATCAGCGGTCTCCAACCTTTTTTGCGCCACGGACCAGTTTATGCCCGACAATATTTTCACGGACCGGCCTTTAAGGTGTCGCGGATAAATTAGGGAGGGGCTAATAATCGGCTCAGTCATTTTTAATGATCGTTGAAAGCCCAGATCGTAATCGTGATTAAAATTCGATTAATTGAGCAGCCCTACGTACTATGGCAATGACAGACCTTAGCAGACTCTGTGGGTCCAGCACGAGTGAAGCACGAGCGATTTGCTACTGCACTGGGCATTCCAATGTCCTCCTCTACCCACACAGTGCCGTCTTTTGCCGTGTGGCTCAGACTGGGCTTCCCAGTACCACGGTGCCTCTTCCATGGAGGCATGTTGGGTTCTTGTTCCGTCTCCTTTTTAGATTCTTCTGAGGAGGTATCAGTGGCCTGCTGGACAAATGAAACCTCTCCTCCATCAGAGTCTGCTTCATCCATTTCCTGAAGCAAGGAAATGGATGCGCGCCTGTTGCGCGCAGATGTTCTTCCTGTGAGGCAGTGATACAGAGGCCATCCTGATGTGCCTTGTCAGAAATGCGAAGAAGAAATGATTCTCCAGCCTGGGCTGTCTGCTTTTATGCACAGCACTGTGCTGAAGTAATGCAATGCCACTCCCTCACATACACAGTCACAATGGAAGATCTGTGGTGAGAGTCAAGGAACTGCATTGCTGAATGCTGCAAACAGACTATGACACAGACAGACAGACTGTGTGGGAGAGTAACCTAAGACAAAAGGCAGAAAGATGAAGAGATGAACCAACCTGGAACTGAGGGACAGAATTAATTTTTTATGTTTTGCTATTTTTACATGAACAGGCAAAGGAGAGAACATGCAACGCTGGGGAGATCACACATGTCACTCATGTCATTGTATTAGCAACTTTTCATTCTGTTTTCACACAATTTTTTATAAATAAAACAGACTTGTGTTTCCATATATTGTGAATGTGTCTTACACATTTGCAGGTCAGTCAATGTGTGGGATATTTTGTATAGATACGGCAGGCATTTCTGAAGGTTGTAACACAGAGGTTTGGCCTGCCTTGGATCTGAGCTACTCTGAGTAAACGTGCCAGGCCTCAAAGATAATGGGTGGTTTGCACAACAAAAGCAGGAGAATTGAGCTGACGACCTTTGAAAATCTCAGTAGGGGTGAATAACACCTTGGGTTAGTAAATTTAGTGTAAAAAAAAGTAAGAAAAAATAAACAACATCATTTTAAAAAATGTTTGAAACTCAAGAGGTCAGAAATTTCACCAAGCTGTGTTACGGCTATTCTTCCCATCCCATGCAAGGACACCTGGATTGGCTGGAGGACTGTTTACTTAGCCTGATAGGCCGAAGGACACTGTCTCAGCTAAACTATGGACACGCAGACACACACACTTACACTGATAAGCACTCACTCATCCCCTCTCCCTTTCCAACGCCTTCGATGCTTGTGCCCTACCGGGGAAGATAGCAGTCAACTGGACCAGCACAGATGCTGCAGGACCGGATGCGCTGTCTACACCGGCTCTCTCTTACCCTTTACCCGCCCCTGTTGCTTGTCTTGTGTTTCTATGGTGTATTGATAGTCATGTGCTTTTGTGCTGAGGTGTTTTTTCTGTTATCAAACTGTTCTCCCACTAGGAGCTCAGTCTGAGTGGAGTTTTTTTTCTCCTCCTCTTACCTCATGTAGTGTATTTTCGTTGTTTTTTCCTATCAGCCTACCTTTCTGACATGTTAGATTAGATTAGATTAGATAGAACTTTATTAATCCCTCGGGTGGGTTCCTCTGGGAAATTCGATTTCCAAAAAAGCACAGCACCGACAGAAGTTACAGAGTTACAGAATATTATATATATATATATATATATATATATATATACACACACACACACACACACACACACACACACACACACACACACATATATATAAATACAGAGACAATATAAATAAAATATACGAAGGGGATAAATAGAATAAATAGGAATAAAAATAAAAATACAAGTGAATTGCACATTTCAAGTATTGAGTCTATTGCACCGTTGACTATTTACAAAAGTATTGCACAAAAGGTATTGCACAGTGAGGTGAAGAGGCACTACAGCTTAGTTGTTCCCCCCTCCTTTGTCCTCCTGTTTCCCCTCCCTCTCCCCTCCAGGGAGGAGTTAAACAGTCTGATGGCGTGTGGGACAAAGGAGTTTTTAAGTCTGTTAGTTCTTGTCTTTGGGAGAAGCAACCTGTCACTGAACAGACTCTTCTGGTTGTTAATGGCCGTGTGCAGAGGATGCCCAGCATTGTCCATAATGTCCATGTCTGCCCAATGTGATGTTTGTGTAAAGTTGGTCAGAAGGTTCCTTTGTAAGTGCGCATGCGCCATTAGCGTGCTGCCTGCTGTAACCCTAATTTCCCTCGGGATGAATAAAGTATTCTGATTCTGATTCTGAAGCTGAGCATTTTTAAAATCAGGGTCACACCTATACTTCTCTATAGCTCGTAAACATGAAGCAAAGACAGCGCTTTGTATGTTGCAGACATTCATCAGCAGCTGCTTAAAACAAATCCTCCGTATCCAGTGGCCAGAGAGGATTAAAAACTGCGGACAAGAACAAACTAGGAACCAATAGCAATACAGTTCTGAGAGAAAGTGGTGCTGGATTGGCCTCACCCTCAGGAAGCCCACCAATAAAATCACTACACAGGCCTTGTGCTGGAATCCAAAGGGACAGAAGAAGAAAGAAAGATCCAGAAACACATGGCACAAGGACAACTATCATAGTCTTGTGTGGTTTGTTAAAAGCTTAGTTTCAAATCGATATATTACATTTTTAAATTGATCATTGAGCCCTAATGGGGATAATTATGTTATTCACAAAAGGTTCAGTGGATGTACTCAGTCATAATGTACAGGGGCGGCTCCAGAATTTTTTCATATGGGTGGCCATATGGGGGCCACTGAAAACATTGAGATGGCACACCAAAAACATAATTTAAAGTTCTTTTTTTGTTTTATTTTTTATATGCTGTTGTCAAATATAGGTCACTTGAAAAATGTGGCCAAAAAAAGAAAGAAAAGTACATGCCTAGTTAATTTCCTGTTATTAAATTTGATATTCACTGTAAGTGTGCCTGCAGGTGCAGGGGCGCAGCACAGGCGAAGGAGTGACGACTGCAATTTGGAGGGACAAACAAAGTGACCATATGAATGACAAATATGAATATGGAGGAATAAATAACAAGCTGACGTTTCAACTCATTGTAGGGTGTCTTCCTCTCTCTTGTACTCAATTATTTTCAACATAAGACAGTCCTGACAGGGGCGACACTGGGAGGGCTAGACATTTTGGCTCTTAGAATATTACGTCAGTTTCCTTATTGCAGTCGGTCTTTAAATTCTTCATGTGCCTCTATAAAGTATATTGGAGGTCTGATTAGGACCCAACATGAGTTAGATTTCTTAATACAAAACTGAATCTATCTATTAAAGTTTTGCATACCTATTCTGTGCAACTTTACTTCAGGGTTCCACATGATGCCCAGCTCCTGCCCGGTCCAGATGATGATGCCTTTGGTTTCCTGCTTCAGTGCAAGCTGCTCTCCTTCCTGATTGGTGGAGATTTCCTCCTGTTCCTCTTTAGTCTGTGGAGGATCTGTGTTCTGCTGGTCCAGACTGGAGTTCCTTTCCTGGCTACAGACCTGCGGGTCATCCAGATCCTCATTTTCCTTACAATCATGTTGCTGTGGGAGATCTTGATGGATAGAACACACAAGAAAAAAGTCACACTGTGAGCAGGTCTCTCAGATATGTGAGCGATATTTAAATATTCTCTCTCATGCAGCGAACAGAGAAGAATTCTGTTTACATGCAGAAAGTCATCATTTATGAGGCGTACAGCTCACTACTCCAACTTGGTCCTTGTGGCCAATAATCCACAGTTTTCATTGTCTCAACATTTTTCTACATTCTGCGTACAGTTCTGGGCTAACATGACTTAAATCTGAAACAGAAAACATGTCTCCAGTGAGGCAGTATCCCAGGCGGTAATGCACGCCATGTGTCTTTGTGACATTTTGTTATAAGTCATATTCATTTCTATATTATGAAATCTGCTTATTACACTTTTACATACCAAATCTGGTCAGCCGTGATCCAGGTTTCCACAACAAATCCAGCTGTTCTCCGGTCCAGACATTAATCCCTTCATCCTCCTGCTTCAGTGCAAGCTGCTCTCCTTCCTGATTGGTGGAGATTTCCTCCTGTTCCTCTTTAGTCTGTAGAGGCTCTGGGTCCTCCTGGTTGAGACTGGAGCTCCTCTCCTGGTCACAGAACTGCTGATCATCCAGACCTTCGTGTTCAACAAAAGGACACAAGAAAATAGTGACTAATGTGATGATAAGAAAGCTCAAGAAGGATGAAAACGGTCACCTATTGAGAATTTAGCTTGCGTTTTATGTTGCCACAGAAACATTCACTGATAGTCATTTGTTCACTGGATGATGTTGATAACCTTACAGCTGTCTGGGGTCTGATTTTTAGATGTGACTGCCAGTGATCATCACACACTGTGAATAAACAAACAAATGAACAGCAGCATGATCTGAATATGATCATGAAAGCTTAAAGTATTTTACGACGGCAGGTAAGATATGCTGTTAATGCTAATCTTTTAACATTTTACTAATAAATATGATGCAAATCTCATGGTCCACTACATTCCAAAGATGCTCTGTTGGGTTGAGAGCTGGTAACTCTGGAGACCCGAGTACAGAGAACTCAATGTCATTTTAAGGGAACTGCATATTTTCTCTTTTTTGGACTACTCTCTGTAAATCATACAGATGTTTGTGCTGGAAATTTAAACAGATCAGCAGTTTCTGAAATACTCAGATCAGCCAATGTGGCACCAACACCCACACCATGATCAAAGTGATTTCAATCACCGTCACTGATCGCTATATGCTGAAATGCATGGACTGCTGCCATCTGATTGGCTGATTACATTTTGGATTAAAGAGTAGTTGAACGGGTGTAGTTAACAAAGTGGCCGTAAGTATGTTTACATAGATGCAGTGTTAGGGAGTAACGGCATACATGTACCGGCGTTATGCATTTAAAATACAAAACATGAGTAACTGTATTCCGATATCCATCCATCCATTCGCTTATCCTTTTCAGGGTCGCGGGGGGCGCTGGAGCCTATCCCAGCTGTTATAGGGCGAAAGGTGAGGTACACCCTGGACAGGTCGCCAGTCTGTCGCAGGGCTAACACATAGGGACAGACAACCATTCACACTCACATTCACACCTAGTGGCAATTTGGATTATCCAATTAACCTATCCCCACAAGCTGCATGTCTTTGGACGGTGGGAGGAAGCCGGAGTACCTGGAGAGAACCCACGCAAACACGGTGAGAACATGCAAACTCCACACAGAAAGACCCCGGCCTGATGGTGGAATTGAACTCAGGACTTTCTTGCTGTGAGGCAACAGTGCTAACCACCGTGCCGCCGATAGTTACCGATAATTTGGTAATAATTAGAATACAGTTACTTCTAAATAAATGGATTACACGATGGTCTTTTCCTGTTTCATATGTCAGGCTATACCCTCTCTAATTTTGTTGATTTCACGCATTACCGGAAACCCAAACAAAACACGCAACAAGAAGCTCTAGTGTAAGTCTCTTGGTAATGTTGGTGGCGTCAGTTATACAATGGACCCAGAAACCGAGCTGCTCTCAACTATAAAGACTCCACCCGAAAGAAACATCTGGAAGTACATTCTTTTTTTAAAGACTAACATTAGCTAGGGCTGTGCGACATGACCAAAATCTCATATCCCAATATAAGACGTTTCTCGTCTTATATTGTCGTTTTATTTTATAGTGTTTCTGTGTTCTGCTGGTCCAGACTGGAGTTCCTTTCCTGGCTACAGACCTGCGGGTCATCCAGATCCTCATTTTCCTTACAATCATGTTGCTGTGGGAGGTCTTGATGGACAGAACACACAAGAAAAAAGTCACACTGTGAGCAGGTCTCTCAGATATGTGAGCGATATTTAAATATTCTCTCTCATGCAGCGAACAGAGAAGAATTCTGTTTACATGCAGAAAGTCATCATTTATGAGGCGTACAGCTCACTACTCCAACTTGGTCCTTGTGGCCAATAATCCACAGTTTTCATTGTCTCAACATTTTTCTACATTCTGCGTACAGTTCTGGGCTAACATGACTTAAATCTGAAACAGAAAACATGTCTCCAGTGAGGCAGTATCCCAGGCGGTAATGCACGCCATGTGTCTTTGTGACATTTTGTTATAAGTCATATTCATTTCTATATTATGAAATCTGCTTATTACACTTTTACATACCAAATCTGGTCAGCCGTGATCCAGGTTTCCACAACAAATCCAGCTGTTCTCCGGTCCAGACATTAATCCCTTCATCCTCCTGCTTCAGTGCAAGCTGCTCTCCTCCCTGATTGGTGGAGATTTTCTCCTGTTCCTCTTTAGTCTGTAGAGGCTCTGGGTCCTCCTGGTTGAGACTGGAGCTCCTCTCATGGTCACAGAACTGCTGATCATCCAGACCTTCGTGTTCAACAAAAGGACACAAGAAAATAGTGACTAATGTGATGATAAGAAAGCTCAAGAAGGATGAAAACGGTCACCTATTGAGAATTTAGCTTGCGTTTTATGTTGCCACAGAAACATTCACTGATAGTCATTTGTTCACTGGATGATGTTGATAACCTTACAGCTGTCTGGGGTCTGATTTTTAGATGTGACTGCCAGTGATCATCACACACTGTGAATAAACAAACAAATGAACAGCAGCATGATCTGAATATGATCATGAAAGCTTAAAGTATTTTACGACGGCAGGTAAGATATGCTGTTAATGCTAATCTTTTAACATTTTACTAATAAATATGATGCAAATCTCATGGTCCACTACATTCCAAAGATGCTCTGTTGGGTTGAGAGCTGGTAACTCTGGAGACCCGAGTACAGAGAACTCAATGTCATTTTAAGGGAACTGCATATTTTCTCTTTTTTGGACTACTCTCTGTAAATCATGCAGATGTTTGTGCTGGAAATTTAAACAGATCAGCAGTTTCTGAAATACTCAGATCAGCCAATGTGGCACCAACACCCACACCATGATCAAAGTGATTTCAATCACCGTCACTGATCGCTATATGCTGAAATGCATGGACTGCTGCCATCTGATTGGCTGATTACATTTTGGATTAAAGAGTAGTTGAACGGGTGTAGTTAACAAAGTGGCCGTAAGTATGTTTACATAGATGCAGTGTTAGGGAGTAACGGCATACATGTACCGGCGTTATGCATTTAAAATACAAAACATGAGTAACTGTATTCCGATATCCATCCATCCATTCGCTTATCCTTTTCAGGGTCGCGGGGGGCGCTGGAGCCTATCCCAGCTGTTATAGGGCGAAAGGTGAGGTACACCCTGGACAGGTCGCCAGTCTGTCGCAGGGCTAACACATAGGGACAGACAACCATTCACACTCACATTCACACCTAGTGGCAATTTGGATTATCCAATTAACCTATCCCCACAAGCTGCATGTCTTTGGACGGTGGGAGGAAGCCGGAGTACCCGGAGAGAACCCACGCAAACACGGGGAGAACATGCAAACTCCACACAGAAAGACCCCGGCCTGATGGTGGAATTGAACTCAGGACTTTCTTGCTGTGAGGCAACAGTGCTAACCACCGTGCCGCCGATAGTTACCGATAATTTGGTAATAATTAGAATACAGTTACTTCTAAATAAATGGATTACACGATGGTCTTTTCCTGTTTCATATGTCAGGCTATACCCTCTCTAATTTTGTTGATTTCACGCATTACCGGAAACCCAAACAAAACACGCAACAAGAAGCTCTAGTGTAAGTCTCTTGGTAATGTTGGTGGCGTCAGTTATACAATGGACCCAGAAACCGAGCTGCTCTCAACTATAAAGACTCCACCCGAAAGAAACATCTGGAAGTACATTCTTTTTTTAAAGACTAACATTAGCTAGGGCTGTGTGACATGACCAAAATCTCATATCCCAATATAAGACGTTTCTCGTCCCGATAATGATATATATGACAAAATAGTGCTTTTTCTGTAAATTCTGTGAATATCGGGCAACTTGACTTTCATGAAGTGTTTTCAGCTGGGTGTCGTGTACCTGGAGTCGAGTATTTTGACCAATGCACTATATATTTTTAGATATATGTTGTAACGGCCGCCATTTTCTTTTTGAGTATTTATTACACGTGGGGGAAAAGCCTGTTCTAACGTATGAGTCTAAGGTTTATTTTGAGCACCTGATGGCTCTTTTTTGCTTCTCATCTATAAACTCTCTCCACAAACTTTCACATGATTCATGCGTAGGTGGTCGAAGAGGTTTGTCGTGTTTGAGTCCGTGGTGGGAACCAGTCTGGGCATAATTTCCATAGTACAGTTTTCTGATCCGTGTCAGACTTTTCATAACCAAACCATGTCCATGCAACAGGGGGAGCCCCTCATTTAGGAATAACATCCTCAATTTGTTTTGACTGGTCCTTCTGTTTGGAGCTACCAGGTTCTGCCTCATCTTTATTGATTGTACAGCCCTAACGTAAGCCTACTACAACTACCTTGTATTAGTTTATGTAGCTATCTAGGTTATGTCTCACTTCAGAATCTTCGATGTACTATTGCTGTGTGACTCATTACTATTACTGAAGGCTGCATTACAACCTGCTACTTGCAAATAATTATGTGCAGTTCTGAAAGCAAACAGAAAGAAAACCTATTACTGATACAGAAATTGTGTTCTATACGAGATCGCTGCAAAAACTGCAGCCTTGCCTAATGTCCACCCTACTGTTACTCATTTTACATCACGATTTAAAAATTTACTTGAGATTGCTTTCAGAACTGCACATGATTGTTTGTAGCTAGCAGGATGTTAATGCTATGAATCAAGTCTAACAGTCTTTAGTCTATGAAATAACTTTAGCTAAAGCCAGCTAACAATGTTAGCTCGGTGGCTAGTAGCCTTCAGTTATAGCAATAATTCACACAGCAATAGTACATTCAAGTAGTTGTAACAAGCAAGTAATAAAGTAATCCGGACCAAAGTATTCAGAATACGTTATTCACATTGAGTAACTTAATGGAATAGTTACAAACTCCATTTGGGCCATGTATTCTGTAATCTTTCGTGGAAAACATTTTAAAAGTAACCTTCTCAACACTGCACAGATATAACTTCATACACTTTACTGTGGTGTATTACTAGTTCAATGCATTTAGATCATGCCCACGTGAATCGCAACCCTCACACCTCCACACCTGTATTGTGTGACTTTATCCCGGGTCTGATATCAAGCAGTCTTAGCTGACGGATCTCTTCCTCATACCGGACGATCGTTTTTTCAAACTCTGAGAAGATTTCTTCTGCAGCAGAAGTTAATCTCTCCTTGATAAACTCTCTAAGATTCTGAACTGAAGACATTATTGCAACAACAACCGACACGGCCAAACCAACATCTTCAAACTTAATTCAGGATCGCGATGGGATCTCTCAATGGCGCCATTGCTGCTATTCTTCTTCTACTGAATTTACGGTAGGCTGGAGGTATAAAAGGCGTAATACTGCCCTCGTCAGGTCTCCTGATTTCTCTAGTACAGACTCTGCTTTGTCTTTCTACAAAGAGTTGATGACATTAAATACAGATGTTTTAACAGTGCTTGAATGTTTTATTTTGTTTACTCTAGCCTCCAACTCAAACTTTGGTTGCTCCTATGCCCACGTCACTTCCTCCACCAATCAGAATGAGGGTCCGGGTTCAGGAAGACGTCTTCCTGATCCCAGTTCCACAAAGGTCGGTGAAAACTTTTAAGTTTGAGCAGTATATAAAAATAAATCCCAATCTGATTGGTATAGTGTTTTTTTGTTGTTGTTGTTGTTGTTTTGTTTTTAATTTCTGTTTAATCGCCGGTCATTGCTCTGCATCCCAGTGAGGCCAACTCCTGCTCTGTGTCGTGGCTGTGTGAGCAGGCAGCTCAGCGTTACTACCAGAAATGTGGCCTCCTGCCTCGTCTCTCTCTGCAGAAAGAAGGCGCTCTGCTCTCCCCGCAGGACCAGCTACTGGCCGTCCTGCACACAAATGAAGAGGTGAGGTGACACTGAGGAGAGCCAGAAGTGACCATACTTGGACCACAGACAATTTAAAAGATGCTGAAGACTACCATGATTGGTTGATGAAGTCTGATCACGAGTGTTTAAGACAAATGTTGTCACTGTTGCTATCTTGGATTTTTTTTTAAAAAAACCCACAGTGACAAGAGGATGGCTATGACTGTGAAACAGCTTGCATGTCAGCCAGTGAGCATACTCCTTTTCTTAGGCAAAGTATGGCCCAAATTCATAAAATAGACTTTCTCATAGACACAGAGGTCTTTTTTAAATCACTGATAGAAGGAATGGAGGTTCTAGGTCCTTCCACAATGACTTCATCTTTCATTACCCAGATGAGGCGTGCAGGTTTTAGACTGTATGATTCTGGTAAGAAGGTGAAGGGCTGATTATGTTAAGCTGCCTGAGAAACTACAATCTGAGAAACTGTAAAGATTAGAACCATTTCTATTACCAGACTGGATGCTGACTTGCTTTTGGAGCCAGCTTCCAGAAGACACTGAAGGAATCACAGTTTTTGGGATTGAATCCTTGGCTTCACTTTCCTGCACCAGTGCAGGATAACTGATGGGTTTGTATTGCAGGTTCTGGCTGAAGTTTGCTCGGATCTCCCTCCTCTCCCTGAGCGATACAAGAAGGCCTGTCAAAGTCTGGCAGTGGGTGAGCAACACAGAGGAAATGCATTATAAAACGGACACATGTGCATTCTTGTATTCTGTTATGAAGTACCATCTCTTTCTACCTGTAGATGAGAACAAGCGTGTCTCCCGGCTATGAGGTTCGGGACCGGGGTTCCTCCGTGTCAGGACTCCAAGTGTCTCGGTTTGGCCGCCTCTTCCCTCGGCCCGCTCCTCCGTGCCCTAAAACTTCAGGCCAGCCTCACGGAGCTGCGAATTTCTGGAAACCGTATGTCTGACGACCTTCTCCCTGAGCTGATTGCCACAACGCTCACATGCCTCGTCTGCAGCTGCTGGACATTTCTGCCAACTGCATTACAGGGGACGGCCTGGAGAAGGCTGTAAATGCTTTAAAGGGACAGAGTGCACCTGCATTCCCGGTAAGGGCCTCAGCTAGCCAATAGTGGCAGCTCCAGGTTTACCATCTAACCTGTATTTAAGTACCTCTGGTCTTAATAACTACCTTAGATCTTAATAACAAGCTAACCTGATTCATATCAATGATATCTGTCAGAGAGAATTGGCTCTCGTGATCATTTGCTTTTTCTGCTCGTTTCCACTCAAAGTGCCTGGAGGAGCTGGACCTCAGTATGAACCCACTGGGGGACGGCGTGTCTGAGTCTCTGTCCTGTCTGCTGTCCTGCTGCCCTGTGCTAGCCAAGCGGTCTCTGCAGGCCTGCGGCCTCACTGCTCGTTTCCTTCAGCAGCATCGACTGCTGCTAGCCAGCGCGCTCACAGGTGACTCTAACAAGCAGCTGACTGAAGCCTTAAGCTTCACTGAACTCCCACCCATAAGCAAAACTGCAACTAACTTTACATCTTCTGAACGTTCAGGCACAGGCCATTTGAAAGCAGTGTGCCTGTCCCTCAATCCCCTAGGCTCCACCGGCTTTGAGCTGGTGTTAAAAAGACTGCCCCTCCACTGCCTCCCACACGTGGACCTGTCAGCTGTCTGCAGAGGGCCTGCTGATTACCCGGCACTGGAACACCTCGCCAAAGTCCTGTCACAGGTGTGCATGCAAAAATCATGCAATGTCATTTATTGTCGAAAGATATAATTGTGCAATCAGGTTAAGACTTTTGTGTTTTTGCAGGACGAGTGCTCTCTGACCCACCTCAGCCTGGCTGCAAATGGGCTGACAGACAGCAGTGTAGCTACCTTGGCGAGGTGTGCGTGTGTGAGAGTCAAGACCTGGACAGTTTGTCAGAGCTGGTCCAGGATATCCGTCTTTGCTCTCAGGCCCTCAACAAGCTGGACCGACAGACCTTGAAGCAGAGCTGGGACAGGACTCAGTCACACGGACACTTTCTCTGCCACCTCTACTTGAGGGTGGCAGGTGTGTTCATAATAAATAATTAATAATGAATTATTAATTTCCTAATAATTCATAATAAAAGTGGTCATTTTTATAAACATTTTGTTTAATGAGGCTACACCAAAAAGAAACAAGATAAAAACAAAATAAAGTGACATGGCGTCCACCGACAGTCTGTGGATAGCTTGTGTTTTATGCATTTTTGTCTGCCTTATTTATACATGTAAAGCTCTGTATCTGTATAAAGAGTTTGTGTTAGTGTGTGAGAGGTTTTGTGTCACAATGGTCCTGTTTTGGAGGATTTGATTAAAAAAACCAAACATAATTAAAGTAACCAACGATGCTATACGTTGACATCGTTCTTTCACTGTAAGACTCAGCAGGCTATGGTGAATAATCACAGCGATTTTCAGGTCTCTGAAGAAATCTATCTAGGAGCTATGACAGTGTAAAGACACCCTGCAATTTTAAATGTGTGGCGACATTTGAATGAGGCGCATACCAGTAGAGGGAGCCAACGCACCACGAATGGTACACAGCCACAGATGCGCTAGAAAACTGAGAGAGGCCGACAGTGATCGCTTACTTTTTGTAAGGGGCTTGTTGAGATTAAATAGAACAAGTTACAAAGCATTAAAACATGTTAAAAACACAACAGCCTTATTAAACGCAGAGTAGTTTGGGCCCAGAAGTAGGATTGATCACGTCATCACTTAAAGACCGGATAGACACACGGTGAAGTTACTCATGTTTACTGTTGTTGCCACTTTCTAAATGTAGCAGGATGAATATTATATGTACTGGTTGATCCCACTTTTTTGAGGAGAAATAACTTTGCTCGTTATCAAATTATCAGTATCTCTGGAAACATTTAATACATTGTGATGGTTTAAATGCTCAGTCGTTTTCTCTTGTAGAATTCATATTCATAATAATATTTAGACAGCGGCACTATAGGTGTTGGCAGTTTTTGCAGTTTTACAAGCCCTCACGGTAAAAATATGGAATTAAATGTCACTAATGGGCTCTTCTCAAAAAAATCAGCGTCTGTGTCACACTGATTTTGATTAACTGACTTATTTTATTGTAATCAAACCTATTTTGATATTGTTGTCTTGTTTTTCCTTTAGCGAGGTGGTTTCCTTCCAATTGTAGCAGTACCAGTACGTCTGCCAGCTCCAGGTAGAGCTCCAGTGACCAGGAAGACCTCAGCATTCACCAATTCCTGCTGAATTACCGCAAACAGAAAGAACTGACAGAGGGCATTGGAATAGAGGATGATTATAACACTGAAGACCAAGGTAATAGGTCTGTCTAAGGGCCAGTGGAATATAAGCTATATGTTGTAGTGGTGATTATTTTAGATTAGGGCTGCCACGATTAGTCGACTAGTCACGATTACGTCGACTATCAAAATCGTCGACGACTGATTTAATAGTCGACGCCTCGTTTGAAGCATCACAAAAGACGCAGGAATAAGTAGTAGGATTTAAGAGTGTAATAACGGACTGAAATAGAAGATGGCAGCACTGTATGTACAAGGATGCCAGCTGCCGTTAAACCCCAAAGAAGAAGAAGCTGTATCCCAGAATTCATAGCGCAGCGCAGCTCAGTTTACAACAATGGCGGCAGCTAGTTAGTTTTAATATTACTCTTATTATTCTTTCTGGGTCACAAAATAAACGATTAAAATATTTTCAGGCGAGAATGTAGCTGTGTAAACCTCAAATATTTGCTCAGTTTATCAAGACACCACACGTTTTCGGAGACGTCTGTTACCCACTAGTTCGATAGCTAACTGGGGGCAAGGCTCACTAGGGCTGTATCCCAATTCAGGGTCTGCAGCCAAAGTACGCAGCCTCAACGATCCTCAAGGGCCGCGTACTTAAAGACTGCTAAGGCCGGAAGTGCGAGGCTTGTGAAATGGGACGGTCTAGCCCAGGTTTCCTAGCAACCATGATACTAACAGCTGGAAACGTTTCATACAGCTTTGTTTGACAGAAATGAAGGAGAAAATCTTTTGTTCATTTGTTTGTTTGTTTCTACATGAGCTTTGATCATTCTCTGTAAGATTAAGCTCAGCTATTGAACGGCGTATATTTTAAAGTAAAGGCTTTAAAACCAAGTTAGTACAAACGTCACTAATGTCACATAACTTTGCCGACATGTGGCCAACAGTAATGTTTTAATGTTCTTCGTTATTAAACATTTGCACATAAATAAGTGACATAATATTCAGTACTTAAAGTTTACTCTTCGGGCGCCCCTCATCCGCTGTTTTTTTCGGCAAAATTATCCACACCCACCGCCGCGCTATGCATTCTGGGATATGTTGGGCCAACGAAGTCTACACCGCCACGTCCTTAAAATTCAGGGAAATGAAGGACGCATTTGAGGGCCGCATTTCGAGCAGCCTTCGAATTGGGACAGCCTTCGTCGCGTCGCGGTGACGTAATCGGCCTTAAAATGCGGCCTTTAAGGCTGCAGACCCTGAATTGGGATACAGCCTAGTAGTGATGTGCGATACCACTGATTTCCTTTCCGATCCAATACCAAGTAATATTCAGGGTGGTATCGACGATACTGATCCGATACCGATACTTTATACAAAAACGTATTTTATTTATTGTATCTCAATTATAGCATCATAATGATTACAGGATATCAGATTACTTGTTCTTATCACTTAATAATGCAGAATTATCATGTAGAAATAAAAAAAACTGAAGTTGTGCGCTATTTGAACACCTTGCCTGCCTGCAGCACTAAAGGACTCCATGAGAGAGGTCTGTCTCGCCCTAGCAGCACCTGTCCCTCTCCTCCTCTTCAGTTCGTCTCAACATACGCGCCTCATATTCTGTGATATGATTTACTCTGAGGTGTTTGACAAGGTTAGTGATGTTGCCACAACCATACATGCCAACCCTCCCGATTTTTCCGGGAGAATCCCGGAGCCACCATTCTCCCAAATTTCCACCTGGACAACAACATTGAAAAACCATATTGCAGCATTCATAGCACGGCCCAGCCAATTCCAGTTTACAACAATGGCGGCAGCAACTTAGTTTTAATATTACTCTTATTTCTCTTTCTGGGTCGCAAAAAACAAAAACAAAACTTTTAACATATTTTCAGGTGAGAATGTAGCTGTGTAAACTTCAAATATCTGAGCCGATCGACACATCGTCTTCAAACCCCCGCGATCTTTCACCACTCGGGTTAAACATGATATATAAGTCACTTTGATAACTTAAAAATGTTATTGTTTGGCTTTTTCAGTGTTTTATTTGTTCGTGAGTAAATCGGTTTGGCTGAGATTAAAGTTATTAGATTAGATCAAATTAAATTTAACTTTATTAATCCCTCGGGAGGGTTCCTCCGGGGTTTTCACACAGCTGAATAAACATCAAACAGAAAACTAATTAAACAAAGTGTGAGACGGTCGAGAGTTTACGCCAGCGCCCGGTTATATTTTAGATAGCAAGGAGCAGACGGCAGTTTCACTCCACCGAGGGAACTCATGACGTACTACCCGGCTTTCTTTAGACCGCGAAGGGCGGGTCCTCAGGTGGAAGCAGCCTCTGAATTTCGACACCCCCGCTGTTTCCGGGCCGGCTAATAATAACGGTGACATTTAACGTATTTTATCCGATAAATAAACCCTGTAAAATGTATTTATCACCCCCCCAACAGCTCTTTTGAATGTCTCCCTAATTCTGAGGTCTCAAGGTTGGGAAAGTATAGCCACCACACCTCACTGTTGGAGCACTTTTTTGCCACATGTATTGCAAACCATGTCTCAGCTGTTTGTGGAGGTAAAATACGTCCGCACAATTACGCTCTGCCATTGTTGTGAGTGCGCGCGCCAAGGGGCTGCGAGACATTTATACAGCCGTATTTCGCACATGACTATGAAAGGCGGAAGAGGAAGTAGTTCCTTTGAATGTAGACAATCCGAATGTTATAGTTTCTTTCCACTGTGTTGCTGTTAATGATAAACTACAAATTTACCCTAAATTACTAAAAAATATCGATATTTTAATGTGAGAATCGATTCTAGAACATAAATGACTGGTATCGGAGGAATCGATATTTCAGGATTGATCCGCACATCACTACAGCCTAGAGCCTGTGAGAACACCGGACTCCTGCAAATCGTTTTCAAACCCTTTCGCTACTCAGGTTAAACATGATATATAAGTCACTTAGATAACTTAAACATGTTATGTTTGGCTTTTTTTGATAATTTTATTTATTCCTGAGTAAATCGGTTTGGCTGAGATTAAAGTTATAGTTTTTACACAGCTGAATAAACGTCAAGCAGACAACTGATTATCAGAAGTGTGAGATGCTCGAGAATATACTCCAGTGTCCTGTTATATTTTAGATAGCAAGGAGCAGACGGCTGAGTTTATTAAACTTCACCGAAACATCTGCAAATTTCATTAAAATTTAATAAACTATCATCTTGTCTTTATTTTTAGTTAGCACAGACCTTAAACACTTAAAGCTGTAAGCTAAAGATAGTTATATAAGAGCAGATGCTGCTGGTGGAATAAGCTGTACGTTTTACGTCCAATGGATGCATGATCTGATTAGTCGACTAATCGCAAAAATAATCGGTGACTAGTCGACTATCAAAATAATCGTTTGCGGCAGCCCTATTTTAGATTCAGAGTGTAGAGGAGATGGATCATTGTAATTAAGAGTCATAGAATCTGAACCTCACTGCTAAACTGGCGGTCTAACTGTACATGTGCTCCATTGCAGAGGTCCTTCCCCTTGAGTGTGAGGATGTTGAAGATACTGGTAGTCCTGATGTGAAAGCAGAGCTTCCCTCCCACCTCAGCATCACTAAGGATGTTATGGAGCGCTGCATTCATCTGCTGTCTGATCCCAGCCTCAGGCTCCGACTCAAGGTACTGTATCAGTAGTTTTATGTAGAGTCAACTGTTGGACTAATAACAAAAATAATCATTCTTGTGAAGGTAGGACCGCCAGCGTTGGTACAATTCATCCTGTCAGAACTGTGTGGAGGACTGTTCAGTGGTGTAATGCTCATCAAGGAAAAACATTCAGTCTGGTCCAGGAGTGAAACAGAAATAAGTCTGTGCTGAAGTCGTGCCTGCTCAGGAGTTTGGGCTCTCAATGAAGACCTCAATAATTAGTTTCAGCTCACATATAATCAGGATCAAAACAGAGATAATTGTTAGGTGTGTTGTGTTTCTTTGTCCTTAGGTACTGGACGTGCTGGAGTTGTGCGTTCAGGTGCTGAATGACAGGGAAAATGAACTGCTGCCTGTGGCTCATCACTGCTGGCCAGCAGAGACTCACAGCTGATGACCATTAGCAGTCCTCAGAGCCTTCAGGGTAAGTAAAACAAACCTCTCTTTTCATTATGTGAGTCAAAATTATTCAAGTCGTCTTTAGTTTTAAACTCTTAGTAGTAGTGATGGGCAGATGAAGCTTCATGAAGCACTGAAGCTTTTCATCCAATTGGTTCACCCCAGTGCAAAGCTTCTTGAAGCTTCATTTGCTCTAGTAGGACATCTACTGGATGTAAAATAATAGTTGGCATGAATTTGAAGAGTGTGGCCTTTTGCACACAGCCTGTAAATGTCAACAACTAAAGGAGTGTGTAAAACATGTATATTGTAGTGATGGCAGCATACTGTGTATATTTATACTGGCAGTATGGAAAATGATCATTTGGAAATGCTTAAAATGGAAATGATCATTTACTGTGAGTGAGTGTGGTTGGGGTGTGGACAGTGGTTGTGCTTTTGTAACGTTGAGGTATGGACAGCTACACACTGAGGCTTTGAGCCTCAGTCCTGCTGTTCACATTTTATTCTGTAAAAACAAAATTTTCACTGCTTTTATGACCTTTTAGTGGGGAGAACATAGCTAGGATTTAATGATTTAACAAATCTTTTGAATCCTTTGTCCTCCACAATGCTAAATGGCTGGGAGTCCTCAATCACCATGCTAACCAGGTCTTCATCTATTGGATTGTTCTCCTGAGGAAAGACATAAAGACAAAAGAAATATAATATCACACACGTAACTATTACAGTTGTATAATATTGTTATATCATTTAGTAACTTACTGCATCCTATATTTCATTGCATTTGATGGCTCACCTGGTCTTGCTCCACACGGTGTTCCCTTATTCTCATGCAAAGCTCTGTAGTGCCTAAGCATGGATGAGGTGTTGTTGTTATATCCCAGCTCCTGGCACATAGCAACACTTCACCTTGTACAAAAGTACAGACAGCTTAACATAATTTGTATTGCACCATCGTTTATGAAAAACATCTTCTGTGGAAATTTACATACCTTGTTGGGAGGAATAAGATCAAAATGTTCCCACACACGGGAGACATCCTCCTCTTCTTTAGCTGGCTCCATTCTCTCCTGACTTTCTCTCTAACCTCCAACTCTCTCTAACCGCAATCTCCATCAACACCTACATTTTGAATGAAGTCTGAGGGGTTTATATCGCTGTCATAGCTCGCGGCAAAGTTCGAACCACTTCATGAACCAGTCACGTGGTACAGCCGGCAGCGAGGCTTCGGACGTCATCATTTTCAGCTCCTCCCATAAATGAAGCAAGCCTCGATACGCGCATCGCGGAACGCCCCTCCATTACTCGACACAAGCTTCGAAGCCTCGATACAGAACGTCACATCACTACTAGTAGTCAAAAAATGGAAAGATGCTGCCCACACAACAGGCTTATTCATTCAGAAATAGTTCTGTTATTTTCTTTTTTGGGTTGTAATGTGAAGACTCTTTAAACTAACATTTCTTCTATCAGCACAGAAAGATCACTGTGTGGATGCCTTCTTAGAGGCTGCTTTTCAAACTGTCTCAGAGAATCACAAAGTAGGACTTTGTGATAAATGAAGCTGATAGTTTTTTGTGATCTTTGGTGCAAGTGTCAGCTGATTCAACTTGTCGGTGTAAATTAGGCTACTCGTCAGCTCCTGTCATCAGCTGGAATATTTTTAAATTTGTTATTCATATTTTCATTGATGAACTGACAAATACAGACACATTAAGTCTGTAAACAGTCATTTATTCACTCAGAGCTGCTGCTGGGAAATTGTTTCATCAGCTTTTGGATATATACGAGTTTTGTAAATACTACAATTCATCCAGGAGTATACAACGGTAAA